TTTTTTTTTTTAATTTTAATTTTTTTTTTTTTTTTTTTGGCTTTTTTAATGCAAGTCTAAGTGGGCAGAATTAAGAGATAACAAGTTCGCAAAGGGGCTACTGAAGTGCGTTGTATGGCTTAATAAAACATGAAAGATGAAAGATAAAAGCTGTTAGTTGTTAACGTTTAGGCTACAGATTTTGATATAAATATATATGTATTTGCCAAGTCTTTAGCTCGTATAGACTTTAAGATCGACGCATTCTGACATGCGAATTGACGGACGGACATGAAGACGGACAGGGCGGACAGACGGCCTTTCCTACTGATTCAGAAAGCATCATGGTATCTGCCACGCCTCCTTTCGCCTGCTACATACATTTAAAAAAATTCGTACTTTGCTATATTCAAAGGGTTCAGGGAATAGAAATCCAAGTAAAAGCGATTAGAACTTACGGTGACCAGCCCAAGTCCTGCGGATTGATATACAAGATGCCTGCCCTGGAGACTGTGGCCGGTGTGGCCGCCTTGAGGTGGCCCACCTCGAACAGCAGACGCATCTCGCGCCTCAGCGAAATGCGTTCGTTGCTGGCCAGCGTCAGGATCTTGTTGTCGTCCATCAGCGTGTTGAGGCTTTCGATCCACATTGGATCAATGTCGCCGTCGAGCACTATCCACTTGGGGTTACCCGGTGGCATATTGGCCTGCTCGCGCATTATTGAGGAGAAGAGGCCGTCCTTCCACTCGCGCGTGGTGGGATTCACGATGCCGAACAGCTCGTCGTTGGACAGCGCCTTGGGATTGAGGATATGGCAGACTGGCTTCAGTTTCTGTATGCGATACGTTTCGCGCAGAGTTTGCCAAATTTTGGTTTTGCCGGTGCCAGCATCGCCCACAATGAACACCGAGTGGCGCACATCGAGCAGCTCCTGCAGCTGCACCACCTTCATGAGGAAGCCCTCCTCGGGCTGCAGCTTAATTTCATTGACCGCACGGCGAATGGTCTTCTCGAATTCGAACATGCGCTTGCGCGGCACATCGAGCGCTGGGAAGAGGTCGCCTATCAGGCCCATAAATATGGACACATCCTCGGTGACTATCTTGGGTATGTTGAAGTCACGCAGGGCGCGCATTAGCACCTGATCCTCTGGCCGGCTGTGGTCATCGCGCTTTAATGTGCCGGCCACAACCAGCACCGATTTGATGGCGCGCAGTCCCCAGTCGTAGTGATCCTGCTTGGACAGCAGCTCCTTGCACAGCGTGTACAGTGTGATAAATTTGCGTGCCAGCAGACGTGCATCCTGGAAGCCCTCGGCCATTAACATAATCTCACAAATCAAAGCAAAGTCCGGCACAATCATGGCGCATGGGCGAAACAATGTTTTCAGGTTTTCCGGCAGCTCGGTGCGGCCAGCGTAGCCGGGATTCATGGTGATAAAAATGCCAACCGACGGCTCCAGCGAGATGCGCTCGCCCATAAAGATAAATTGGGTTTTATGCATCTGTAAACAGTAGCAGGAGGAACAGCAGCAGCAACAACAGCAGCAACAGCAGCAGCAGCAGGAGCAACATCCAGCGTCGTCCGTTTCCAGGAGCCAAGCGAAATGTAATCAATGTGCAGCATTGCAAAGAAGTGGAAGGTAAAATCAATTTGCGAACGCTTCACGTATCCCAGACATTGCGGTCGCACCCTTATCGCCTCCTGTATAGTCTTCACTTGAACGGCCACCACGGAGAGCACCTCCACGCAGATGCGATTGAACTCGTCAAAGCAGCCCCATGCGCCGGTCTGGGCGAGACCTTTGTAAATGTTGCCGCAAGATTTGTAGTCCATTTGCTCCGAACAGTTGAAGACATAAACCATTACGCCCAGTGCACGGCCCAGGTCTTTCGTTGTTTCCGTTTTGCCTGTGCCCGCCGGTCCAGCTGGCGCTCCTCCCATCACCAGATGCAGCGACTACATGTGTGTGTGTGTGTGTGTGTGCGTGCGTGTGGGTATGCAAAGGTATGCAAATTGCAAACGGAATTTATTTTCCACTAACGAGTTGTTTAATTTAAATACTGGCCAAATTGGCATAAAATCAACACCAAATGGCAACAAATTAAAGCAGCAACTTCTCTCTGCACTAGCCACATGCACTAATTGGAATTTTACTTGCTTTCAAGTAACATAATAAGAGCTTAACTATGTGCATACAATATTTACATATTTGCAATACATAAGGTATTTTCCTTAAAGAAACTGTAGTAAGGAAATATGTATTTGAGAAATATATATTTTAACAAAAATACATACTGTATGTATGTATATATTTATACATATGTTATATATGTATTAGTTATATGTTTATATATTTTTATTTGCTTATTTTATTTTTTAATATGTTTATACTTCATATAAT